AACCTCTTCCTCCCCCAACCTTTTCTTATAGGTTCAGGAGCAATGTTTTATTAAGTTTATTGGCCTGCTAAATATTTCTGCTGCTGGCTGTTCACTGAATAATGGACCTTAGAGTTGAAGCATTCTTGCTGGCATTTTGTTTTTATTTCTGGATTCTAAGAAGAGTTAAGGCTAGGCACCAGTAGCCCTGATGCCTGCAATACATTCTAAAATAATGAAAACACTAGCATTTCACTACAGACTTCGCAAACGTTTAATGGCGAAACTTCATCAGCAATTGGCAGCTCATATCTTTTCAGAGCAAAATTCAGGGAATAATACTAAATTGTGCAGGTTAATTCTTCTTTTTATGTTTGGAGCATAGAACTACTTGATAACTCTTATCTTCATTGTTTTAGGTGTGGCCATGCGGAATGGTAGATTTGCTGATACATCTTGACATTTTAGCAATGCCCTGCGAGGTGAATGCTGATGCTGTGGGAGATGACAATGAGGTCTAATATGAAAATAAAAGCACATGTACACCTTGAAAAATCTACTGTAGTGTTTTACTATGGAACTTGTCAGGAGCAGGAGAGTTTATGGGATTAGTCATCAGTGAAGGGGAAGATATGCATGTATGCTGTGGTGCAGTCACACAAAGTGGAAAATAAAGCATTAGATAGCGTTGTGTATATAAGGACTGAGTTGTAACACCGCTGCCCCCACCCCCCAGGAATGCCGCATCTGCAAGGTGTTTGGCTGTAGGGCAGGTATAGATTGCTGTCCTTTCTGTCCTTTCTTCGAGTACCTTTGGTAGTTGTGAAGGCTTAGGTCACAGGAAGGTGGGGGAGGAAGGGCTTTGCTGGACTCTGACACCTCTGTGTGGAAACAAAAGGAGAATACAGGTGTAACATCATCACATAGAAGTAGTGGCTCGTATAGTAACAAAGATAAACTGTATTTAAAGGCTTATGGATTAGGCTGTGAAGCTGTTTTACAGTAGGATAGCAGATAAAAAAATGATAGGAAATATTGCAAAAAAATGTGAAAAATTATACTTGCACAGTTTTGTAACTGAGTTGATGTTTCCTTCAGTTTGCTCTCAGATTCTAATGATTGGTACAAATCACTTTCACAGTAAAAAATTATGTAGTAAATAAATAATTGGTATAGATGCTGTTACTCATCTGAGACAAAAGAGATCAAAAGGGGAAACAGGGTGAAACTTATTTAATCTATCTTGTGGGTGTGTATAGTATGTACATCCACTGAACTAGTCGTCCTAAACTCCTGCTACAGAAAATAAAAATGTGTGCTTTTAAGAAATGATTCATGTGATGTGTTTAGCTATCTGCTTTAGGGTGCAATTTGTTTCATCATAGGCTCTTATCTGTGTTGACTGAACCTCCCATTTATTGTGAAGGGAGACAGGAATGGTTAGCTGTCTGTGGACGAGGGAGTCCTAGTGAAGGTTACTTCAACTTTTATGTCTGTGTTAGCCTGATAATGCAGGGAAGTTTTTGCATTGATAGCATTGTAACATTTTGTTGAAATGGGACCTTGACTCTTCATCTTCTAAAGTAAGAAGCTAATAAACACATTAGGGTAAGATGAACTGGGCTGGTCTTGCATGTAATGTATAATATAATGAAACTTTTTGGACAGGATGAATTGCTTAAAGAAAAACTGGTGTCTCTGAAGCATGCTGTTTTTCTAAACACATCTATTAGAGATCTATTCATCCATCTTTTAGAGGTAGTTGAATCACAGTACTGTTGTTAAGCTCCTTAATAGGATGCATGTGATATTACAAAACGGCTTCTACAGATCTCCATTACAGAGGCTGTTTGCAGTATTTTGTGGGATAGGATACATGAGCTTCTATGGAAGGAAGGATCTGTTCTGAATCTATTTACTGGTAAATGTCTGCATTACATAAAATGAGTATCGGGGGCGTAGCTGAATTCTGGTATAGTTAGGGAAAACTGCATTTTTAAAACCATAATTAGCCACATGGATTAAATGCTGCTAATGGTTAGTAAGCTCGCCAGCTAGAAAACCCGAACTCTCTAATGCTGAAAAATGAACTTATAATAAGGGACTTGAGATAATGTGAATTAAAAGAAAGACAGGTAAATGTTTTCTGTGATATAACTGTCTCTTAAATGTTTTTTCTCAGGCTGTTGTTCAGCTTGCTGGCAAAATACGGCTGGCTGAAATTTTGATTGTTGGGTGCTGCAGTTTGCAGCTCCTTCATTTGGTAAAAATGTTCAAGAGGTCCCATTGTAAACTGGGTCAATGAAATGATCTGTCATTAAAACTAACCCTGTTTTGGATCACGATGGTAGTAGATGTGTTAAATCTGGAAGTTTTGGGTGATTCCATTTATAGTTAGCCCCAAAAGTGTTGCTGATGTAACTAAGGAGACAACTGCAAAGAAAGGGTCACAAAGAGGCTTCAGCTTGAGAGCTGGTACCTTGTGAAACTGCGTTCTTAGTTGATCCCTAAGTGCTTTCAAAATTCTGCTTTCTTACTCTAGAAAGAAACTGAGAAAAAGAAACTATTTCTCTGAAAAGCATTGGTATAGCAACTGTGATCCTTCAGCATGTTTGAATTGTAATGAAGGTTTGTATCTATATGCACTATGACAGTTTTGCATCCATTTCCTACTACTGAGCAATTCTTTATTTTGGTATGTTCCCTTCAAACCGTGTGTGTGTCTAAGATCCTTGTGTTTAGCTGTGGGAGCTTCATCTCTGAAGATTTATTTTAAACCCACAGAATTAAAAGTTAGTTGGTCTGTTATTGTGGAGACTTAACGTTAAACTGTTAATGAACCTGCATTAATTTTATTTCAGCTAATGGGGCTGCAACATTAGTAAGCGTAGTTCATCTTCCATTTCTGTAAGCTTTTATCCTATTGATTACTGTCTGATGTATTTCTCCACGGCTTAGGCATAACTGATTTTTGCTGGAATTTTGTTGACCGGTTGATGTTTATGTGTATTCTGTCATTTAGAGATAAATCACTTGTTGAGTTTGTACGAAGATGGTTGAGAATGTGCCAAGTGAACAAAATAATTAGTATAAATCTTTCCTTACTGCTGAGTATTGTAGTTACTTAAATTCAGACAAGTTACATTCTGTTACATCTGGCTGGGTTCGCTTTCTCCCTTTTGCCCTGCCAGGGATGGAACCTTCTTGAATTTAAGAAAGAAAAGCTAAGTCAAAATGGAGTGAGGCTTTTTTACCTCCAACTTCCTTACCTCTTCCAGTAATGAAACTTTGGTTTTGCCATGCACTAAGAAAGCTCCGTCTTGTCTCCAGGTGTTCTTTTTGAATCCAAGACTTAACAGAAGATATCTCTTAAAGCCACGTCTCCCCTTAGAGAGTAAAGTTGTTTCATGATCTGGGCCAGATTTGTAGGATGTGATGAATTTGTGTGAATAGAGATGTAAATCTTGAGTTTTGACTTAACATTCAAGAAAGAAATGGTCTGTAAAAACTTGAGCACTGGAGTTTGTGTTGTTGGTAACTTCAATTGCATAGGGAATGTCTGTTTTTTGACACAACTTTTATGTTTTTAAAGTTTAAGGGTTCTAAAACTGTAGTTTAGCATAAGGTATTGACTACAGGATGCATTATGGGTGAAAAAGATTTGTAAGGAGGGGTGATGTCCTAGTGGCAGTTAAAGTTGTCTTTGTAAGTTCGTGTGCTTTTTTCTTATTTTATTTCTTTAATCTAGAAGCGGTGAAGAGTCTGATTAGGGTGCTGTGGAGACAGCAGTTCTATAAAACATGTTTGCGTGGGGTGGGTTTTTTTGTTTCAAATGTTTGCAGTCCTTTTAGGATTGAGACTCTGGAGTCGCACAACCATATGGGGCACAGCTGATTAGTATCTTCCTTATTGTTTCATACAGGTTAAGGTTAGGTGTTTTATGTGTGTACATTTTCATTAGCCTGCATTTTTGGGGTTAGGTCAGTATGATGGAACATTATACAACTATAATAAAGCATTACATGAAAACATTATGTCAGTGCTCAGTATTAGTAACCCCCCCTAAATTGGCCTAAGAAAGTAGTATAGAACAAACCAGAAAATGTGTAGACAAAGGTGAGAAGAATGCTAGAGCCTGTTGGAATAACATCTGAAAAAGGAGTGACAGAGTAGGACTTGAACGAGATTGAACTGAAGCTAGGAAGGGAGGAAGCTACAACTGTGAGTTGCTTGAGGCAAGGTAAATAAAGTATGATAGTTCTTGTTTTGGAACAGACGGTGAATGAGAAGATGCACAAATTATCAGGAGATTAAAAACAAACAAGAGGAAGTGGTTCTTCTCACAGCACATAGTTAAGCTATTAAACTCCTTGTTGCATGATGTTCTTGATACTAAAAATTCACACGCTTTAATAAAGCACCTGCCCAGTTTCACAGGGAGGGGTGGAATCCATCAAGCATTATTAAACACAAAGCCACTGCCCTCTGATTTAAAGTAGTTTTTGAAACCCTTTAAGATAAGGAGAGTTTTGTTATTTATTCTTACATTTGCCGTTGTACTATGTTCTTCCCTATGCATTCTCTAATGGTTACTTATGAGGTAGGAAAGTGTTTGACGTGGGCATTTGGTTTAATGTAGCATGCTCTAACCTAGTTTTGTACTTTCTGGAATAAGGATGGGATGGTATTACATGGTTTATTGGGAGTGGCAGGGGAAACTTTGTAAGATGAGCAGTACAGGATGTGTTGGGAAGCAGATATGCCAACCCCAGTTTTGATACTGTGGCATCTTGTAGTGAAGTGGAATGGTTTTTGGAAGAGCATCTGAAGCATAGTGCTTAGTAGCAGAATGAAAGGGTATAGTAACACAAAACCCAATGAAATTTTTTAAAGCTTGATTATTATCTTGAAAGAAAAACAAAAACCCAAACCCCAATATTTATATGATTGTTACACTTACCCTGTTCCTTGTCTATGTTATGAGATTTCAGAAGCTGATTGATTTCATTCAAATTTTACAGGGGTGGAGGTCTCAAACTGAATTCCCACGGACTTTGTGGAAGTAGACAGCTGGATAGAGAAGAGGTTATACCATGGCTCCAGCTGAGAGAAGCAGTAAGGTGAGCTTGTTAAACATCAGAGAATCCTCACAGGACCCCCAACCTTGTAATTGAATCCATATGAAACCAGGTTCATTAGTTTCACTGTCTGTGAAATAACTTGTTTAGCAGGGAGTGTTTTTAATCTAATGCTTACATGTCGACTTGAGAATAGCTAATGTAAGAAGCTGTTTGTTTGCCAGCTTCCTTTTCAAAGATTTTCTTTTTGAAGTTCAGTTTTGGAACTGTGAAAATATATTCTAAAGAGCTAGGTTTTCTGTATTTTATTGAGTTGGCAACAAGCCATCTAATTTCCCTATTTCTAGCTACTTAGCACTCAAAGTGGGAGAAATGGTTAGCTTTTTGATAGCTACAGATTTTTATTTAAACATCAGTCGAAGTTAAAGATGCAGGAAAAGTTTTTGGGATGTTTTGTGTGTGAAAAAAATGGCAATGGGACATAAGACCTTCAAAACCAGGTTTGAATATAAATGTTTTATAAATTGAATCTTGTTTGCTTAAATGTCAAATTAACTGGTAAGCATGAGTTCAGCATAAATAAGCTGAACTCTTGAGTTCTCTCCCCTTCCTTCCCACTCTTCTTCCCCTTCTCCTGACTCATTCCCAGGACTGCTGAACATATGCAGCCTACATGCAAACTTTTTATCACCAGTTTTTATAACTCCAGTCAAAATATTTAACAAGACATTTTATTTAGCACTAAGAGTACATCCAACCCAAATGTTTCATTTCAGCCTGTAGAGCTGTTCATTTGTTGTAATTACAGTAGTGATTGATAATGCTCAAACTAATTAGTGTTACAAAATTAAGTCTTGTATGTCAGTCTGAGCTTTGCTGAACAGGAAGCTGTTAAAAGGGAGAAGGTAAAAGTCCAAAGTCATGCCATCAGAACTTTGTATTAGAGCTGTTTCATCCTGCAACATGAAGGAATATGCCAAAAATAAGATAAATCAAGCACGTTCCTCTTGTCAATATTCTGTGCTGCCCAGTGCATTTCTAATGTAGCTGGAAAAGTCACAGATTTCAGCTTTGCCAATTTTAACAGTCCTTGTAACACTAACTGCTTCAAGTGTTGCTTGCAAGGTTTCTGACTCAAGAACATGAATGCCACTGATTTTCAGAGAAATTTTCATTATTACACTGTTGAAATTCACTTTCTTCAAGCATACTGATAATGTGATTTCAGAAATCTGTTGGTTACTAAAGCATGGCTTATCAAACCCTTTGTAAAAACCCCTAAAGAATTTAATAAATAATCTGTAATAATGTGCCAATGTAACTTTGGGAGAATTATAGGATAGTAATTTTGCTTATTTTTATACAAATATATAAACTTGTATCTTTATTTTTAGGTATGCTTGGCAGTGACAATGGACTATTTATTTGCATCAGATACTCTTATATGAAAAGATCACGTTTCCAAAGAGCTTAAATATTATTTCATCTTCTGAAACAGAATGGCAGGCTTCAAGCGAGGTTATGATGGAAAAATTGCAGGATTGTATGACTTGGATAAAACTTTGGGCAGAGGCCATTTTGCTGTGGTCAAACTTGCTCGGCATGTCTTCACAGGTGAAAAAGTAGCAGTAAAAGTAATTGACAAGACCAAACTGGACACTCTGGCTACTGGACATCTTTTTCAAGAAGTTAGATGCATGAAACTAGTGCAGCATCCCAATATAGTACGGCTGTATGAAGTGATTGACACCCAGACTAAGCTTTATCTTATCTTGGAGCTAGGTGATGGAGGAGATATGTTTGATTACATCATGAAACATGAAGAAGGTCTGAATGAGGATCTGGCAAAAAAATATTTTGCTCAAATAGTTCATGCTATATCCTACTGCCATAAACTGCATGTAGTTCATAGAGACTTAAAACCAGAGAATGTTGTATTCTTTGAAAAACAAGGACTTGTGAAATTGACTGATTTTGGCTTCAGCAACAAATTCCAGCCTGGAAAGAAGCTCACCACAAGCTGTGGATCTCTTGCATATTCTGCTCCTGAAATTTTACTTGGGGATGAATATGATGCACCAGCAGTTGGTATGTCCTCTTTGAATTCAACCAGTAATCTAAACTTAAGTACCATGATGTTGTACCACTGTTTTCTGTTTCAAGATAATGCCATATATGGAAGCTAGCTAATTGGCAAGAAATTAATATTATAACCTGGATGAGTTATGGATGAGTTAATGCTGGAGCAGCTCTGTTTGGAGGAGATACTCAAACATTCTCAAAAAGTGCTTAAAAGATCTTTTTGTATTAAATGATGCAATTGTGCACATTGTAATTAACTTTCCTATTAACAATAATATGAATGCTATGTGTATGTTTGTACTTGCTTTGTTAGCGGACCTATCCCTTTTTCAGAAAAGTGCCTGTTCTCAATTTATTTTTAACATCATCCCCCTGCCCACCCACCCCTGCAAAAAACTCCAACCACACAGTGATTTTCTTTGCACAGTTTAGCCATATAAGAATGACATTGTGAGACCAGGCTGCTTACATGTTCTGCTGCTAGGTGGTAGGATTCCATTTTTAATAAGTACTAACTTGGCTATCGAAGGAGGAGACTGGAAATTAAGGAAAGCTTTAACTGCCTCTTCCTCTTCTCCGCCCTTTTCCTGTCTGAGAACTGAAAGTAGGGGTGAGTTCCCAGTTGCTCCTAATTGTTTAAAAGGTTAAGAGAAGTAGTAATGTGTGAATTAGTCTTCATGTTTCTAGCTGGAAAGTGGAGTGTGCTAGACAGACTACTACAGATAATCTTCTTATTTTCTCTGTTAGGTCTACTGCATATGCTTTTAGAAGTAACTTTAGAGTTTTTTTTTTTAAATAGCTGTAAAAGTTCATAGAGTCACTGAATAATGTCCTGTAGTCACACAGTTTGCTCGCATCTGTTAACTGAGGTAGAATTCACTTGTCCAACAAGTTTAGGTACATATAATTCCAAATGATGCTTCAAAAACAGCTTATTGTAGTCAACATACCTCTTGTTCTTATGTGCCCAGTATCTGATTCTTTTACAGTCTTATTAATACCCATTAGAACTCTGTACATGGCTGTGTATGTGTTTTGCTATGGTTATAGTAGTGGCTGTAGTGATGGTTTAAATTAAGACTGACTTGTCCAATTTTTTGCTAATTTACCTGAGGTAAACAGTCAGCTAATTTTGTATGCTGACAAGGTATCCCTGCACACTGTTGAACTAAAATTCTTGCATTATTTTTAATATAAATATTTTTAGCTAGCAGACCATATGGTCTTTGCTTAAACATTTGAATGTCACTTCGTGGCTTCTAACTTTGAATAGGTATTTTACTGTGGTATTTCTGGACTTGAAAGTACTTTCTCAAGTGTGCTATAATTGGGAATTTTAGATGTCTTTGCTGTTTGTGGTTTTGCAAATCCATGTTGATGCTACAGTGATGCTTGATGAAATTATTTCTATTTAGAGTCAAATGTTTTAGATGAGTTGGTCCTGGTTTTATTAGTGGCAACCTAGAGATCCTAACTCCTGAGTTCTCCTGGAGTTCTTAGGAGCACTATGACCAGATGGTCAAAATTGAATTGTAGAGTTAACAAAGCACACTTTGGATGTCTTAATGATAAATGTAAGAATGGTGACATCACATAAAATGTTTCTTAGAGGACTTTGTAAGCAATTAGGTAGGTAAACTTCTGAACAGTACTAGAAGAAAATGGTTGAATGGATTCATAGAGGAGGAGGTCTGGCTAATATAGAGTGGATTGCTGTGAACGGTAGAAAAACTAGAAAAAATGAATTTCTTCTAGCTGATGTTTAAGGATGCTAGTTAAGTTTTATTTCTGAGAATATTTAAATACACGTCAGTGGTTAGTTTTTGCTTACTTATTCCCCAGTATGCTGTCGCAATTACTGCATGCTAGAACTCCTATCCTAGTTGACAGATTGCAGTGCTTATATTCTCACTTTTTTAGTGGCACAGTTTTCATGACTTTGTAATAGACTACAAAATCTCTAAAGTACTATCAGTACAATAGTTACAGAATAAAAATACCAAAATTTACTACAAGTTGCCAATAAGATGATGACCTTGGAGAGTCTGCATTTTCCTTTTCTAACTGTGGGTAAAAAGGTAAGATATACTATGTAAGTTTTCTAAATACAACTTATTCGTGTATTTTAAATGCAAAGATTGTGGAAAAAAAAATATTAGGGACTTCTTTAAAGCCCTCCTTCCACCAAGTGGAGTCTTAAATGTAGAATCTTAAAAGAATATATGTTTAGGAAATTTATCACTAACCATGTAATTATGCAACTGACAAATCAGCTTGCATAAACCTTTTTTAACCTTTAAAGTTTCACACTAAGATGAGGTCACACTTGTGGACTGGAAGTATGTATAAATTCAGAAGTAGACATTTTCAAAAGAAGAGCAATTAAATCAATTACATTTTGATGCTAGTAATGTGCAAGGTGTATATCTAGCCTGCAGTAGTGGTGAAATGCTGTGAACTCATTCAGCTGTTGGCTGAATAGGGCTATTAATATTGCAATAATAATGACTGACAATGGCAAAGATTTTTTTTGCCAGTTAGGATGAAATTATATTAGAGCTGAACCAATCTAAAAGCTAGTTGTTTGAGAAAGGTGGTCATGTGCAACTACATGGTTCTGCCCCTTTGTGAGCATCTGACCGCTTGAAACCAATTCAATTTACTAAAATGCCAAATTAAGAAGGATTGCCCTGCTTATACTCAGTGCATGTTAAGGTACACTTGCATTCATTATAATATTTTAAAAACCCCACACCTGTTTTCATTTATCCAAAATAGTTGTTATATTTGCAAAAATTATTGCAAGAAAAATAAATCAAGGTGTATTGTGGGTTTGTTTTTTTTTGCCAAAGACCTTTGCCACAAACATGGCTTTTCTCATGTCTTATGAATAATATTAGAATGAGTATATGAAGGAAAAGACTTTACATTTTTGTGCTACAAAAATCTGAAATACTCAGGGCAAATCTTTTATTAAGTTATATGCTTAATAAATATAATGGAAAAGCTTGTTCTATGAAAATGTAACTGTTTCAGCTAGTTTGGGGATTAAACTCCCCTTTATGATGCTGCTTAAAAGCTTTCACACTTGAAAAGAGACTAGTTAATTTAGGTGTCTCATTTCCTTTTGTGTTTAAGCCTGTATGTAGTTAAAATGATGCAAGAGGAATATTAGGCAATGATCATATGTTCCCAGGGCTTTTCAAAAAGCTGAGTGAGTTAGATAATGAGAAGTTCTGTTGCTTGTAGTTTCCCATGTGTTTTTTGACTGTTAATTAAAACTTGTTTTAGTCAGGGGAAAGCGAGAGGGCTGTTGTTGCACATAAAGTTCACTTTGTAAAGCAAATGGACATACTATTTTAGATCAGACAGTTGTGTCTAGAGCAGTGGTGTAATCCAGTGAACTCCAGCAGTATTGAAAAGTGGATAACTACAGATGAGAGAGAATAAAGTATGCTTCTGATAATGCTTTTCCTTTTGCTCTGCCAGCATCAATAGAGATTGGATCATTAAATAAATAGAAATCACCTCTTTCCTAGGTGATAAAGTTTAATTACAGTTTTTCAGATTAGTTGATTCTTTCGGAGGAGAGCAAATTCTATTTTAACTGCTTGGCATCTCTACAAAGTATTAAGTGTGCTGTAGGGTACAGTAATTCTGGAAGACATTGACACTTCTCAATTGGTTTTTATTATTGTAGTTGGGTATTCCGTATGTGATTTCGTAGATGCATGGAAACATTTGCAGGGTAAATTCATCCTTTTGGGATGAGAAATGGGCAAATTCAGATTGTAAGATTGGGATTGTCTATTTAGCACAGTTGAGCACAGGCCTCTAGAATTGTACTGTAATACACAAACAACATTGTAGGTACTGTCACAATTATTTAGCATTGCAGTCTGTCGTCACAGCAAACACCAAGAGAATGGTGGCAAGGTGTTCCTCATAAAAGATGTGACTAACAAGAATATTATGGTTACTGTAGCTCAGTGCACCAAATAGTAGTCAACTGGCAGTTTGTAGTCCAAATCCAACTTGCTGCCTTCGTGGAAGTTCCAGAGGCTAACCCTTGGATAACATCCATTGCTTTAGTAATTAGATGATGGCTTTCTGGCACAACTCAGACCTGGATATCTTCTGCCAATACGGTAAGACAACAATGAATACATGGCTTCATTATCTAGTCATACATTTTTTGATTATTAAGGGAAATGGAGGATTTGTCATACATACCTTTGGCTTTCCCGAGATGGATACTGCTTTAGACCCACTTTGTCTCTGTTGGAATGATCCCAAATTCTTTTGTTTTCTTTTTGCATCAAGCATTTGCAAGGGCGGCTTACTTGCGTATAGTGTTGCTGGAGTGTGTTTTGTCTTTCAAAGCTTCAGCCATGTTTACCTGGTGCTTGAGCATAGCTCAGTAGCCCTGATGACCCTATCTGGCCTGTGTGGAGCTAGTTTTGATGTTTCTGCATGTGTATAGCAGTTTATTCACAAACTGAATGACTAATGTAAGCATAATGGCCAATGGGTATGTACAGTAACCTTTTACACTCTAAATATGCTGAATATAAGATTTGACAGACTTGAGTTAAAAAAATAAAATGGTAAGATACTTGCAAACCATATATGGTATTGAATCATTTAGCATACCTGACAGCATTTTGGAGATTCACTATGCTCAAAATCAGATTATAGCCAAATTTGTCAGAAATGAAAAGCAAGAAGTTCTACAAAAGGACTGATTCACTGATTGTTTTGTTTTGAAAATCTCCCCTTTTAATGTTGTATTGCAGCACTTTAGAAGATCTATAGTGAGACATACTATAGAATGAGCTTGAAGATGTAAGGGTGCAGAAAACTAGAAGTATAATACTTGGCTGCTTCCAGCATTTCCGTTTTGCTTGCGTCAGTGCAGAGCTACCCCTTCTCTTGTGCTGCATTCTATTGCATAGCTGACCATTTGATGAACTGATTTTATCAGTAACTTGACAGAAAACTGTTAA